TAGATAGATAGATAGATAGATAGATAGATAGATAGATAGATAGATAGGTAGGTAGTTTTATTGCGCTATACATTTTCCCCCAAAGTTCCCTTCTTTCCCTCTCCCCTTCTACCCTTTCCAATGATCCCCACACTCCCAATTTACTAAGGAAATCTTGGGTTTTTTTTTCTCCTTCCTATGTAGATTCATATGTGACTCTCTTAGGGTCCTCTTTGTTGTCTAGGTTCACTGGGTTTATGGACTGTAGGATGGTTTTTCCTTGCTTGATGTCTAAAAGCCACTTTGAGTGAGTACATATTTTATTTATATTTCTAGGTCTGAGTTATTTCACTCAGTATGTTTTTTTTTTCTAGATCCACCCTCAAGACCCAACAATACCACTTTTGGATACGCCTAAAGGATGCTCAATAACACCACAAGGATGTGTGCTCAACTATTTTCATAGCAACATTATTTGTAATAGACAGAACCTGGAAACAACCCAGATGACCCTCAAATGAAGAATGGACAAAGAAAATGTGATACTATTACACAATGGAGTATTGCTCAGTTGCAAAAAATGACATTTTAAATATACTTTTGAGAGAGAAAGAAAATGAATTTGGTTGGGCAGTGAGATTGCAAGGATATGGGAGGACTAGGGGAAGAAAAATGTTTTGAATGAAACATTATTTTAAATAAAAATAGATTTTCAAAAAATAAAAAGAATTTATGCTCTAATACCTGCAACACTGGAGAAATAGAAAAGTTCATTTTTATTAGAAAAGTATCTTCTCATAACACACTAAATTCCTGTGATCATTCTTAGATAATATGATTGGTTTGTGACATATATCAATTACATACTATAAGTCATCACTTGATTTCTATAGAACATGTTTAGAAATAACCGTTTTCATATCGAAGGACAGTAAGCAGAGAATGATAAGACGGCCTACTAAATGACAACCAAAAAGGGTGAGCAGATGAAGTAAACCTAACATCTAACGTGATATTTTGTCAAAAAAGAACAGGATACTTGAAAATAGTATAAAAGCAGATGAATGCAAGTTCCTTGTGGCTAGAATTGATATAACTATCATTCAGGACTTTCTCAAACCTAGAAAGACCTAGTTCTTTTTTTCCTGTTTCTCTGTTTCTTCTTTTCTGACGAACATAATTTTCGACAAGTAAACAAACAGCATTTAGTGATGATGAATGCCAGAGTTACAACACAGACCAGGAGAAACCCAGTCACATCCAGCGAGTGATACTGGAGCCAGCTGAGGTTGTGGGCTGCCACACGAAGGTGCTTGGCCCCTTTGTGGCGCATAACAAACTCAATCCAGAAGACAGCTCGGTCCAGGGGCTTCACAGGCTGTTCATGGTGAATTCTCAAAAGCCTCATGGCATTTTCTTTATAACTAAAAGATAAACGCATATAAACTGTTTTATTGATTGTTTATGAACATCTTATATATCATGCAAGGCATCAGCTATATAAGTTTAAGACATCCTTAATACTTTTTGTAACTTTGTTGGTTTCAGGGACTGTCAGAAGTTTAAAGGAAAAGTCGTGTAAGTAATCTGTTCTTAGACGATGCGGTCAAATACAGATGTAGAAAACTTGTAGGATCCAGTATCAAACCTTTAGTCTCCTTCTTCTGATAGAACTGTGATGTCATAGGAACTATAGTGCTCAAAAATGTTCCAAGATAAAGAGGACATCTGCACATATGTGTGTGTGTACATGTGTACATCTGCACATAGAGTGGTCACTAGAATCTAGGTAGTTTGTGCTATAGATACAGGAAACAAGCAGTTATTTTAGTGTTCTGAGATCTCTCACTCCTCCATGCACATTTAAATACTTGTCATCCAAAAGACAACATCTCTCTCTCTCTTAGCAATGTGTGACTGAATACAAAAATCACTACTGTCATTTGAGAATGGCGTGTACAAGTACAAGGACTTGGATGTTGTGTATGCAATAAAAATATCTCTCTAAAATCAGATGCCTCAGGCATTTGGCAAAAAATATATTTAAGAGTGAAGGTTTAATCATTTTTGAAACAACCCATGGCTGGGATCTATATATCTAAAAGGCAAGATATGTTGTCTCTTTTAGTTTCCCAATTTTGAGTCAGAATTATTCTGCCCCGTGTTGATTCTATTTGGTTTTATTTCATTGGTGGCAATGAGAGAAGGTATGTGGTTTGTGGGTAGTTGCTTCAGTGCTGTTGACTTCCTTAGACCTGGGCAAGAGGCATACTGGTCATAGATTCATGGAAGGCACTTGGTGCACTCGCCATAGCAAGGAACTACTTATGTGTATTCTACTTTGCTCATTGTAAAAAAGAAAACAGAACACATGAAAAAAACACCCTTCTATTTTTTTATTTCACTGAACCAAAAATAGAATCAAGATATAGTTTCACAGAATCATGCAGCTGAAATTTAGGCAAACTAGATTGATGATAAAATACTAATATTTACAAATTTGCTTTTCCAATAAGGTTTTCTGCTTAGAGATTAAATTTCAAATTTACATATATGTGTCAGAAAACATTGTGACTAAATTTTTTTAATTCTATTTTTATAAGAAGGCAGAACAATAAAGACCTTTGTTTATTAATTTAATTCACCTTTTAGTCACCAAATGTTAGGCATAAAACTGTTAAAATGTCCTGAATAACTAACATAACTATCATTTATATATGTGTAATATATAGTAGAATGTATCTTCTTGTACTTTCTTTATCTCTGCATGTGTAAATGAACATGATGAGTGGTGGTACATGCCCATGTAGTAAGTAGTCAGAGAACAATCACTAGGTGTTAGTCCTCAAATTCTACCTTGTCTAAGACAGGGTCTGTTGTACACTGCTGTGCCCAGCAGCCTAGCTGGTCTGCTTTTGGGATTCTCCCATCTCTACACCTCATTTTGCTCTGCACACCTAGGTATTACAAACAAAAGCTAGAACACAGGAGATATGAACTCAGGTCAGTTCTCACTATTCACAGCAAGAGCTTACACTGAGGACCCTTCCCAGCTCCCTGTTGAAATTTTTACTTATTTTAGAGAATTAGATAATGGAATAAAAACACTATTCCCCATGTTCCCATGCAATCTTAGATATACAATTTGCCTTTATGTTAATATGAAGTTATTTTTACGTTAAATACCATTTCAGTATACATATATGCATACCAAATCTCATATATATATATGAGATTTCTAAAAATACATTTATAATAGGTATATATATACATGAGCTTTCTAAAAGTTCTTATGGTTATTTAAAGTACTACTTTCGTGTATATATATATATATATATAAATGTTAATTATATGAGCTGTTTAAATGTATATACTATTTATACATGTATGTATATATGAGAGTTGTCTAATATTTATGATTCTTTTTTGGATCAATAATTTTAAAACTAATAATTAAATGTAATTCTGTGCCTTAATATTTAAAAGAATCATAAAATGTACCCACTCTGATAGTTAATAAAAATGAATCAAATTATCACTAAGAACTTAGTAACAGTCTAATGTTTCACAAGGCTATGTTAACATTTACATAAAAGAGTTGCTCATGCCTAAGAAACATTGACATTCCTAGCCCGAAGATTATCTCCTGAAATATATTCCTTGAGTAGCTTAAATATTGATATACTTACTCAGAGATAACTAGTATATAATTGTAATGTTCAATAACACTATAAATTTATTTTGAAAAAATAATATTCAGTATATAATTCTGACTTTTAAACAATTTTATCTAAGGGCTTATATACTTATTTCTTAAATGAAAACTGCAAGTGAATTTGTTTATTAATAAACTATTTTCGAAATGTATTGATTAGAACAATCTTCAAAGCAATTACTTTCCCCAGTTTCAGGTGCTAACTTTAGTAGATAGGAAAGGAGAAAAACATTTTCCTTTTTTGGAAACTGTTTTATTTTCTCCTCTTTGAAAATGAGACAAATGTAAGATATGAAACATTGGAAAATTTCCAGAACGATGGAAAGGTTAACCAGTGGCTGACAGGATTTCCAAACGGTGATACTTACGAAGGCTCATTAATGACAGCTCTCAAGGCGCTGAGTAAATCTGCACTTGTCATTGTGTTGAAATTTACTTTCAAGGCTGCTCCTTTGGCCTTCGTGTGAGCAATGTTGTCAGGCTGATCAGCAAATATGGGGACTCCCACCATAGGGATCCCGTGGTAAATAGCCTCATATCCCATTCGTTCCACCATGCGTGATGAAGGCTTTGGTTTTAGGATGCCCTGTTTGAGGAACAGAGTGACAAATTAGTATAGATTTCCAGCTATCATATTTGCACAAAAGGCATAGTGTAAGTCACTAAAGAAGGAAACACAGCCTACAAAGGTTGGGCACATGAGACATTTCTTCCATAGAATTAACCCTTTCTTCACTGACTGAGAAGATACCACTGGAATGGTGAAATTGGATGGAATCCTGAAAACCGATGAGAGTCCCAAGTGAGGATGTTCTTTTGTGAACCAAGGCAAAATAAAAACTAAACAACCTTTAATTTCATAGCTAATTATTTAATCATAGTTGTCTCTAAAGAAGACTTGCAATGTGAAAGTATAAATGATTCGATATTGTCAACTGATCTGATGGTTTTCGGACTGCATACTTTTTGACCCCATGGACTTATCAAGTAGATCATTCTGGGGAATCCAGTTAAAAAGCCGCGTGTTGGATCCTAAAGTGGCTGACTTCTTGCCTGAGTATCTCCACAAAACCTGTTGAAGAAAATGTGATTTTGCAGGCTGAAAACACACAGTGAGGATGTGGTCTAGCCATGGTATTATTTAGAACAAAGACAGACTGTGTTGATTAGATGATACTGAAGGAGAAAGCATATTTGGGGCTGTTTGTAAAAACTGAGAGATAGGATTTTGATCTCCCTTGCTCTTGGATTGGGAGGATCAACATAGTAAAAATTGCAATTCTACCAAAAGCAATCTATAGATTCAATGCAATCCCCATCAAAATCCCATCAAACTTCTTCACAGACCTTGAGAGAGCAATAATCAAGTTTATATGGCAAAACAAAAAACCCAGGATAGCCAAAACAATCTTATACAATAAAGGAACTTCTGGAGGTATAACCATCCCTGACTTCAAACTCTATTACACAGCTACATTATTGAAAACAGCTTGGTACTGGCATAAGAACAGAGAAGTCGACCTATGGAATCGAATAGAAGACCCAGATATTAACCCACAAACCTATGAACACTTGATTTTCGACAAGGGGGCTAAAGGTATGCATTGGAAGAAGGAAAGCATCTTTAACAAATGGTGCTGGCATAACTGGATGTCAACCTGTAGAAGAATGAAAGAAGATCCATATTTGTCACCATGCACAAAAATCAAGTCCAAATGGATTAAAGACCTCAACATTAATCTGACCACTTTGAACCAGATAAAAGAGAAAGTGGGAAGTAGTCTACAAGATATAGGCACAGGAGACCACTTCCTAGGTAGAACCACAGTAGCACAGACAATAAGAGAATCAACGAATAAATGGGACCTCCTGAAACGGAGAAGCTTCTGTAAAGCAAAGGACACCGTCAGTAGACAAAAAGGCTACCTTCTGACTGGGAGAAGATCTTCACCAACCCCTCATCAGATAAAGGCCTGATCTCCAAAATATATAAAGAACTCAAAGAAACTAGACACTAAAACTCTAATTAACCCAATTAAAAAATGTGTTTCGTTGATTTTTTGGATTGTTTTCTGTGTTTCTATTTTGTTGATTTTAGCCCTTAGTTTGATTATTTCCAATCTTCTACTCCTCCTGAGAGAGTCTGCTTCTTTTTTTTCCAGAGCTTTGAGGTGTGCTGTTAAGTCTCCAATATGTGCTTTCTCCGTTTTCGTTAATTGGGCACTTAGTGCTATGAACTTTCCTCTTAGCACTGCTTTCATTGTGCCCCATAGGTTTGAGTATGTTGTGTCTTTATTTTCATTAAATTCAAGGAAGATTTAATTTCTTTCTTTATTTCTTCCTTGACCCAGGGATGATTCAGTAGTTGACTGTTCAACTTCCACACGTTTGTAGGCTTTCTGGTGTTCGAATTGTTATTGAATTCTAACTTTATTCCATGGTAATCTGACAAGACACAGGTGATTACTAATATTTTTTTGTATCTGTGTAAGTTTGCTTTGTTACCGAGTATGTGGTCAATTTTTGAGAAGGTTCCATGAGCTGCAGAGAAGAAGGTATATTATTTCCTTTTTGGGTGGAATGTTCTATAGATATCTGTTAAGTCCATTTGATTCATTACCTCTAGTAATTCTCTTATTTCTCTGTTGAGTTTCTGTTTGATTGACCTGTCCATTGGTGAGAGAGGTGTGTTGAAGTCTCCTACTATTAGTGTGTGGTTTGATGACTGCCTTGAGTTCTAAAAGTTTTTCTTTTACAAAAGTGGATGCTTTTATATTAGGGGCATAGATATTCAGGATTGAGACTTCCTCCTGATTAATTGTTCCTGTTATGAGTATGAAATGTCCATCTCTATCTCTTGTGATAGATTTTAGTTTGAAGTCAGTTTTGTTAGATATTAGAATGACCACACCTGTTACCTTTTGACTGGGAGAAGATTGGTGCGGGAGAATTATCTGTATTCTGTCAATCATATTTTAATAAAACGCTGATTGGCCAGGCAGGCAGTATAGGCGGGAAAGCCAGACAGGAAGTAGGGGTGGAGCAAAGAGACTGGGAGCATTCTGGAAGCAGAGCTTCCTCAGGCACTCCTGGGCAGACCACCGAAGAGGCAACATGTAAGCTGTCACATTGAGAAAGGTACTGAACCCGTGTGGCTAACATAGATAAGAATAATGGGTTAAGATAGGTCATAAGAATTAATAAGTAGCCTGACCTAATGGGCCAATCAGTTTATAACCTTATGGAGTCTTGTGTGTGATTTTCTTTGGGACCTGCCTGCTGTGGGGTACTGGGCGGGACAGATACCCCAACAAGCCGGCCCCCTCATGTTACAGAAGATCTTCACAAACCCCTCATCAGACAAAGGTCTGATCTCCAAAATATACAAAGAACTCAAGAAACTAGACACTAAAACTCTAATTACCCAATTAAAAATGGGGTACTGAACTGAACAGTGAATTCACAACAGATGAACTTCGAATGGCCAAAAGGCACTTAAGATCATGCTCAACCTCCTTAGCGATCAGGGAAATGCAAATCAAAACAACTTTGAGATATCATCTTACACCTGTCAGAATAGATAAACTCAAAAACACCAATGATAGCCTATGCTGGAGAGGATGTGGAATGAGGGGAACACTCATTCATTGTTGGTGGGAATGCAAACTTGTGCAGCCACTGTGGAAATCAGTGTGGCGGTTTCTCAGGAAACTGGGAGTCAACCTCCCTCAGGACCCAGGAATTCCACTCTTGGGAATATACCCAAGAGATGCCCTAACTACTACAAAAGCTTTTGTTCAACTATGTTCATAGCAGCACTATTTATTATAGCCAGAAGCTGGAAACAACCTAGGTGCCCCTCAACAGAAGAATGGTTAAAGAAGGTGTAGAACATATACACATTAGAGTTTTACTCAGTGGTAAAAAACAATGACATCTTGAATTTTGCATGCAAATGCATGGAAATAGAAAACGCTTTACTGAGTGAGGTAAGCCAGATGCAAAAAGAGGAATAGGTATGTATTCACTCATAAGTGGATTCTAACCATAATTAAAGGTCTTTGAGCCTATTATTCATGATCCTAGAGAAGCTAAATAAGAAGGTGAACCTGAAGAAAATCATGTAGTTATCCTCCTGGATATTGGAAATATACAAGAGTGCCAGGTAACCTCGGGTGCATGGGGGGATGGGAGAGTTGTTGGAAGGGAAGAGGGTTAGAGAGAAGGGAGTAAGGGAGGAATGGGAAAAGCTTGGGGGACTGGGATGGGGGAGAGGGAGGAAGGATGGATATGGGATCAGGGAAGAATATATCTCAACTAAGGGAGTCAGTTTAGGGTTTACAAGAGACTTGATTATAAATGGGATCCCAGGTCCAAGGAGAGATCCCCAGATTGTTCTCTGGACAGAGGAGAGGGTGCCTGAACCGGCCTTGGCCCATAACCATACTGATGAATATTTTGCTTATCACCATAGAACCTTCATCTGGCAATGGATGGAGATAGAGACAGAGACCCACATTGGAACACTGGACTTAAGTCCCTAGGTCCAAAGGAGAAGCAGAAGGAAAGAGTACGTGAGCAAAGAAGGCAAGAGCAGAGGGAACCTTCATCCGATGATGGATGGCGATACAGATGGAGACCCACATTGGAGCACCGGATTGAGCCCCCCAAGGTCCAAATGAGGAGCAGAAGCAGGAAGAACATGAAAAAGGAAATCAGGACCGCAAGGGGTGCGATCACCCGCTGATACAATGGGACTGATCTAATGAGGGTTCACCAAGGCCAGTTGAACTGGGACTGAAGGAGCATGTGATCCAACCAGATTCTCTGAATGTGGCTGAATTCTCTGAATGTGGCTGAATTCTCTGAATGTGGCTGGCCCATTGAAAAGCCGGGGTCTTATGAAAAGCCATTGACAATGACACTGGGACTTGTTTCCTCTGTATATACTGGATTTTTGGGATCCAGTCTGTTTGGATACTCACCTTCCTGGACCTGAAGGGAGGGGGGAGGAACTTGGATTCCCCACAGGACAGGAAACCCTGACTGCTCTTAGGGATGGAGATGGAGGAGGAGAGGGAGGGGGGGAGTGGGCGGGTGTTGGGAGGAGGGGCAGAAATGGAAACTTCTATAATTTAATAAACTTTGAAAATAATAATAATAATAGTAATAATAATAAAAACCTGGAAAAAACAAACAAAAAAAACCTGAGAGATATAGTAGACCTGTTCATACGTACCTATTCACAACAGCTTCTCCTAATAGTCTAATAAGCATAATATTACCACCTTTATCTTCAGTACTGAAAAGCTGATGGAACAAGAATTTAAATTTTAATCAATCAGAATATTGGGATCAAAACCACTATGAATGTGAATGCCATAAACATTTATTTCACAAGATCTATTGATCCTAATTATCATGTTTGAAATGCGATTCTTGTTCCAAAAATATAACTTGGTTTAGTGTTTGTGGTAAATTTCTTTATTATTTATTTGACTTTTTTCTTCCCCTTCACATCACCTCCTTATTTGACTTTGCCTCCTATCTTCTCTTTGTTTCCGTCCTTTCTTCATTTCTCTCTAGTCTTGGCCTCTCTCTCTCTCTCTCTCTCTCTCTCTCTCTGTCTGTCTGTCTCTCTCTTTCTCTCAGTGTGTGTGTGTTTGTGTGTGTGTGCATGTGTGCATGCGTGTTTCTCTGTGTTTCTAGATTAGATTGTTATTTGATTAAAATGTAACATTTTGTTACATATTATTTTCTGCAGAGAGAAAGAAAATTTCATATAACTAAAATGTAGAAAATTAAAGGATACCGTAGACCTTAACACACAAGTTTTCAGAAGCATAGTTAGAATGCATGTTTCATACATCTTTGTATACTTTCTCTTGCATATAAATATAAAACTACATAGAGAATATAAATATGGGATTCTATTGTTTAAATTCATTAAGTATAAATTAGAAAATTAGTATTCTTTGACTATTGCAAGTCTATACTTGAAAGCATAGACTCCTCAACTTTGGAAGAATTCATGTCTTGAGGTTTCTACTTGTAGATGAAGTACACTTTGTAAAAACCTATAATCATTTTTAAGACTGGTCTCTCTCTCTGCTCTGTCTGTAGCATTTCACATCTTGTGAGCCACTTTGCTAAATTGTGAATTGGACTTTTTGCTAGGAATCAGTGTAGGTCATGGAATTTCACGTGGTCTGGGATCTTCCTCTGTGAGGGTTTGTGCCTAGTCTTATTATAACTTATTGCGCTATGTTCAGCTGTTATTCCTGGGAAGCCTCCTCTTGTTTTGAAGGGAAATGGAGGAAGAATGGATCAGGGGAAAAGGGGAGGTAGGAGTGGAAATAGTGGGGTGCGGGAACTGTGATGGGACCATAATGCATGAGAGAGCAGTAAAGGAAAAAAAAAGATCAAAGACTACAAAAACATGTTTTCCCATAGTCGTGCTAAGAGTCAGTAGGCAAATGATCAAATGTAACTACATTTGATGCTACTTACATGTTCGATCAATATTTACTGCATACTGGTCTCAGCTGTGGTCCCTAAGTTTCTACCTTCAAATTGAAGTTTCTACCTTCAAAGAACCCTGTCTTCTATGCTCTCTAGGCAGCCCTAAGCTTCACGATTTCCCAATATCAAGAGGATGTACCAACCTTCTGAGGAATCTGGGCAAGGGCTGAGGCTATGAGATTGGCTTTGTCTTCTGTCAGGTTTTTGACCATCGACCCCAGAGAAAACACCACAACACCATGTTCCCCTGAGCTCTGGACAAATTCTTCCATTTCTTGTAAAAATAACATTCTGTCAATTAAAAACACACACCAGACTGCCCCACACAACAGGGGCACATGCCTTAAGGCAAGAGGAAGGCAAATCTCTGTGTGTTCAATCAAGGAAAACCTGGTTTACATGGTGAGTTTCAGGCCAGCCTCGAAACCATAGTAAGACATCTCTCAAAAGCAGACATGACCATAAGGGAAAAAGGAAAGAAATTAGTAAAACTGAAAAGATTTAAATTCTTAGATTAATTCTATCTAATTATACCTTAGATATTGTTTATCTAATAATATTTAACAAATTATCTATTAATTACACCTTGTAGAACTACCTACTTATTTAAAGAGGAGACAGCTCTCTGAAACAAACATAAAATATATTCAGTAAAACCATGGTACTTAATCAATATAGAAAGAAACAACAGCTCCTGGCAACTTTTCTCCAAGTAAATTGAATTGTTGCTTTCAAAATTTAACACTCCTCATGCAACAGAGCTCTTTACAAAATGGGGAATTATACCATGAAAGTAAGGCTATGATTTTAATATCATTAAGTCTGCTACATAAACAATATTCAAGATTGATCCACCTTCTCTCTTGATTGTTACACAAACAATCAAGGCTACTTTCATTTATATATTGTCTTCCCTACTTCACAAAACCAAGATGAAATCTGTTAGTAGTGGGATTTTAGAATTACATACTTAAGAAGAACATAGTGGTTAATTTACTGCTATAATCACAATGGCATTTGTGGACAATGCTTATTGTCTTCCTGATGGATTATCTCCCACATTATTATAAAAATTATCACAGTTGTTGGAGCCTTATAGTCAAAGTAAAAAAAATAATTTAAAAATAAACTTCTCTGAACATTCACATTTTAAAATATTTGCACTGCAGAAATGGAACTGGGTTCTTCACAGAATAACATGAGAATGGCACTGTCTAGAAATATGTCCTGTGTCCTTTGTGGCCAAAAATCTACAATTAATGGATGAAAGAAGACTTCTATTTCAGCTAATATTAAGATTTTTAAGAACTTCATATAACTTTGTTAGTTTTTGTTTTAGAGACCGTCTTGTTACGCAGCTCAGTCTGGCCTCAGACTCAAGATTCCCTGCCTGAAACTCTCAAGTACTGAGATTGACAGGTACACTATTTGATTGTTTTAACTTACTTTCAAATATATATTTATATTATAACTCACAAATACAGACACACATAGAAATACTCCATTGACAGACGGACAGACACACATATATTCATACATGGGCACTTACATAGAAACACACATTGACAGACAGACACATACCCTCACACACACACACACACACACACACACACACACACACACACACACAACCCAAATGACGTTGAGCTTTTACTTGAGTGAACTTCATTTTTTCCTTATTCTACATTTCGAAAAATATGAAAGCTGTGATTGACATTTACTTGGTCAGCATCTATTTTGTTAGATAGCTCTTTTTTGGAGTGAAGGTTCCCCTTTACTCCTATGAAATATGTCTAAAGAGTTTTGTAGAGTTTTACATATGGAGGGACTTTAAGAAATTAAATCTAATAGTTTGTCATGGAGTTTACCATGCAAGCCATCTCTGTATCATTTAGATATTGATTCCTTAAATTTTACACAGCAATATTTAGTTGAGTTTGGTGACAACTATAATATAAGAAAACATATTCATAAAACTAAAATAAAAGTTACATTTAAATACACCCTCCACAGCCTATACAGGAATACAGAACATCCCAGAAAAAAAAAAAACACTTAATCTGCAATCTTCTGAAAATTGTGTGCCTGAGGACTTAGCAATCAAATACATTTATATTTGTCTCTTCACCCTCTACAGTCTTCCTACTTTGTTTACCTGTCATCTCCTTTTATTCTCAGTGATTTTTGTTTCAACATTCCTGGCATTCACTTTTCAAAGATATAATATGTAATTTTCTTTTTCACTTCAAAAACTCCTGACTTCATACTCATAGAGGCCCTATATATCTCTTGAGTCTACCCATTTTATTACTTTTACTTGATGCTGATGACTCTCAAACAAACGAGACATTTCTTAGAATTCTCAAAAGTTCTCTTCAGTGAAATAATAAATCTTTGGTTCTTTATCATATGTAATTGAAAATCAAATTCATCACTGTCAACTCTGTTTTCTTTTGTTTTTTTTTCTGCCGATTATCACTCCAGCAGTAAAGGTCAGCACATAAATTATTGTCTAAGATTAATTAATTAATTATCATGTCTGAGATGCCTTGATTCTGAAGGCCTTCATTGCATGTTTTCTCTGACTCATTAAATTCTAATTTATTTGCCCAGATCTCTCAAGAAGACATCTTTCTCTATCAAACAACTGGGCACAGATTCCGGTTCACAGCTCTGCCAGTCATATGAGGAATTCGCCTTGGTGATCTTCATGATTCTTTTCCACTATTTACTGAGATATCCACAATGCAGATACATGGATACTTTTAATACATCATTCCACTTTGGTTCTTAATCCTAAATTCTTTAGTAAAGTTGGAAAGATCCAACAAGTTTCGTCAAAGATTACCTATGATGAGGAACATAAATTTCCCTGATATAGTGAAGCTACTAATACTAGTATCTCTATTACTAAAGTTATCAACCTTGAAGGATAATAAGCTATTATATCACAGAATTCCTAGTATCTTCTCCATCACAGACCTACCTTAGGTAAAGGCTTGGCAGGTTTGCAGTGCAGTCCTCCCACAAACTCAAAATTTGGTAAATATGGACGAGGGAATTCAAAGACCCAATATGTCCAAATTAGCCAAATCTCAGCTTTCCCAATGGTCTCACAGAATGTGTTGGGTCTTCCTTTAAAACATGCAGAAAATTGAGTGAACAACATTAGTATCGTATTTGCTGAGAAAAAAGTGCATTATAGGGAGGCTGGAGGCTCAGTGGGCAACAGCTCTTGCTACTCTTGTAGAGAACCTGGGTTATGCCAGCACTCACCTGGCAGATCATAAGCATCTGTAACTATAGCTGTAGGTTATAATCTGATGCATCTAGAGGCATCAGACACACATGTGGCATGCAGACATACACGCAAGCAAACACTAAAACACATAAAAATATAGTTTACAAATGTCCCACATTTCTACATGAGTTATTAAGATGAAAATTTCAGTACTCTAATATGCTTATCATGGTTATATGTTTAAAGGAAGGGAGGACAGATTGTGAAGAAAAGAGAAAGCAGGAGTTGGAAGTAGTAAAGTAGTAACTATAATTTCATAATCCAGTCAATGATATATTATTAAGGGCTTGGCTGATCCAAGGCTTTCCTTTGGTCCTGATCAAAGGAGAAGGAATACAGCTCTTTCTCAAATCCAGGAATATGCCTGTCAGAGCCAGTAATGGCCTAAGCCCAGGTCTTTGGGGGAACTGTGACTTTGTATCCCGAGAAACAAACACTTTCCATCATTATGTGGCTATCATTAGCAGTTTCAAGTCTGGTGTGTCTGTGTGTGTGTGTGTGTGTGTTTGTGTGTGTGTGTGTGTGCAACCACTCACGCGCATGCACGTGTGTGCATGCTTGCTCTGTAATGGTGTTGAGATACCCTGTCTTCCCCTTGTGCAACATTGTTTGATTAGCTTCCCATTGGTTTCATCCCATTTCTCCCCTGTAAATAGTATATAAGATGCTGCACTTTTTAATAAGATTTCTTGGAATAAGACAGGTTGTGCAAGACCCTCTTACCACAGCATTCCCATCTTTTCTTTTATTGTCTCAGCCCCTAGACACTTCCCATTTAAGATCCTGTCAATGAAGAGATACTTACTGATCCAGAATGATCAGTGGGAAAGAAGAGAAGAAATGAAAAAGTAGAATGAAGGCTAATATTCAGGGAAAAATAACCTTAGTTTTTTAACCTACCCAAAACACATTTTGAGTTTGATTTAAATACTTGGTATCTGTATTACACTGCCTGAACTGTAGATCATCCTAGGAAACCTTTTTATGATGACGATTAATGATAATAAAACTGTCTACTACTGATATATCTAGGTTTTATTCTTACTTTCTTAGACACATAAAACTGGCAGATATCCTGATCTGATAGGATAATTAAATAAATTTGATAGAATAACTTATGACTTCAAAATTGGGATAAAGTAAAACATAATCAACTCAATCTCCTCATAATTTCTGGACATATTTCAGTTTAGTGCTGAACTATGCTAAGACATTTTGCCTCCTGTGGGTACAAACATTGTCCTCTTGCCAACAAGAGAGACTTTCCGAGAAAAGCTTCAATGTAGTGGAAACATTTCCTGTATCTGGCAAAACAACAGAACATGGGACACATTATAAAAGTGGAATTTAATTGCATATCATTATTCTTCTTTTTCCTGATAATGATACACAAATTTTTTCAGGGACAACATAAAGAAGCAATATGGTCCAGCGGTGACCCAGAATGCATGTTGTGTTGACAGCCGGACATGGCAATGTGTAAGAATCATCCAGGTGGGACTAGTTTTGAGGGCATGACGAGATGCCTTCTTAGGTGGAGAACAACTGGAGCCTGTCACTTTGTGGCAGGACTGAAATCCCTGAAGAGAGGCAAGAAGTGGTCACTGGTGACGGGATAACCTTAGTTACAGTAGGGTCAGTCTAGCATAAGAGAAATACAAATACCGTAGGATGACTACAGCTATGGAATGGAACTGACCTGAACCTGGACAACAAGCTGCCCATACTACAGAGGCAGACTTGAAGAAGCAGAACTGCACAGGCCTCCTGATTTTCAGAAGTTCATGAGTGGTTCTGAGATGACAACTACTGAGTCTTCTCACTGTTGAATTTTGATTCTGCTTTGATTTTATTTTTCTGTGTCTTGATTCTTCCCGCTTGGAGTTAGAAAGTATGTAATTTATTTTTGATTTTACAAGGGCCCATATTAAGAGGCTTTGGACATTTTAAGAAACTGTATGCTTTTAAAAGGACTTTAGATTTCCAAGTGTTGAAACTTTTATAGATTGTGTAACCTTTAAACCTATATTATACTTCATATGCGTGATTAATATTAACATCACATATTGGGGATGCCTTGAAAGGAAAGATATAAATGAATAGTGATATGTTTTCTGTCATCCTGACAAGGGGTCAGCTGTGTGGTCTGCCTGTTGTCAACTTGACACACATCTACACCCAGCTGAGAAGAGGAAATCTCTGTTGGTCAATTAGCCCATAGGAAAACTTTAGTACAGTAATGATTATTGTTGGAGGGTGTAGTTCATTGCGAAGGCAATGACACTACTAGAAAGGAAATTTTGGATGGTATAAGGAAGTGGGCTGAGCAAAGACATTGGTAGCAAGACATAAGCATTATTCCACCAAAGCTTCTACCTTTAGTCAAAGGCAAATTCAAAGTATGAGGCTGAGTAGAAGGCTCAAACGTGACTGTATATAACTACAACCATCTTCCTATTTGACAAAGATGTCAAAAGACAGAGCATCTTCAACAAATGATGTCGAGGAAAATGGATGCTACATGGAGAAGAATGATGTTAACCAGTACTTATCACTTTGTATAAGAGCAGCTCCAAATGCAGCAAAGATCTCAAAAAGTGAAGACAAGAATATCTGAAGTTGTTTGAAAAAAACCCTAGAAGAATCCTATAAAAATTAGTGCAGAAAATTAAACATTGCAATTCACAAATGGGACCTTATAAACTGAATAGAATGGGAAAAATTTGAGTGACAAGAAAGGAAAAAAAAATCTTATTTTTTTTAACCCTCTCAAGAACATATTTTTGAGGCTGACTTCACTAACCAGGTTTCTGTATTACACTCCCTGAATTGTAGACCAGCCTAGGAAACCTTTTCATGAGGATGATCAACAATGATAAAACTGTCCACACCTGATTCAAAATATTTTACAGTTATACATCAGATGCAGTGCTAATATCTAGAATATACAAAGAACTCAAATGTAAAGATTCAGGAAAGCAAGCAAAGCAATTAAAACTTAGTGCTGGGTCTGGAAAGAGACTTTTTGAGAAAAACACAAAACTAAGTAAAGAATAACTCTAAAAGTGCTTAACATCCTTAACCATTAGAAAAATGAC